ACGAGATATTTACTTAACTACAAAAATATTCAAATATGGATGAAAGTTGTTTCTATCCAAACCTTCCAATTCCTACATATTTATTTTAGATTCGCAGCTGCGACAATAAGGCTGCAATAAGAAGGTAACTACGAGTCAATATGCCTGTACTTGTTCATTAATCACAATTGTTCGCATGGAGAACCATGCCTGCGATGTTATCAGTCCCGCTTGTGGCGGACCATCGTGCAGTTTAATGCAGTCATTTCAATCAATCCCTTACTCGTATGTATACATTGTATAATTACTTGTATTCCTTACATACGAGTAGTTTTGCTTAAAATGTGACATTACTGAAATGCGCTCGGAGTAATGATACGTTTAAATGTATTGATACGATGTATATCACTAACACTATCGAGCTGCGCTTGCGGATAACACGCAATAATCTCTCTTCTCTGCCGCGAGACTATTATTACTATAATGGAGGTCATAAATGCCTTCGTAAGTTGCGGGCTTCATTAGTGGTTGGTGTTGTATTGCAACAGCGATACAAATAGTCGGCATCAGTATTGTAACAATATGTCATCATTTTCAGTGAATAAAAAATCAAAAATTATTTGAACTACACTGGTACATTTTCATAATAAACTAGCTTTCGCCCGCGACTCCGGCCACATGAAATAAGAAAAAACAAAAGTGAGTAGCCCATGTGCTCTTTCAGACTATCCTCTACTTCTGTACAAACGGCTACAAACTATAACAAACATCCATATATCCACCCATCCATCTAAACTTTCGCATTTATAATATTAGTATGATATATGTGGATGTGGAGCGTCGGTGGCTCAGTGGTTTGAACACTTGACTTGTAATCTACAGGTCTTGGGTTCGAATCCCGCCATGTACCAATGTGATTTTCAATTTTTCGAATTTTCATATGTACATAATTTACCCGACGTTCTTACGGTGAAGGAAAACATCGTGATGCAACCTGCACATATCGGCGAAGAAATTCAAAGATATGTGTGAAGTCAACCAACCCGCACTTGGCCAGCGTGGTTGACTATGGCCTAGTCACCCCATATTAGGGTAGGCTCCGAGCCCCTCGGTGGGGACGTATAGTGAGCTGGTGATGATGATGATGATATGTGGATGTACTAAAGAGGCTGCAGTATGAAGGACGAAGATGCGAATTCCGCTAGTTTATTCACAAAAGTGCGAGCGTAGCTCTCGTCGGCCCGTAGCACGGCTACGTCGCGCCGGCACTACCACCTACCGGAGCTACGCGAAACTCTTCATTTATAATTAATTCATAAAAGTTATATTTTATCCTGTATTGCGACTTACTCGTACGAAAAACTACATTAAGTAAAATTTGAGTATTTCAATATGTGGAAAGTATTGGAATAAAAAAGACTTTTGAGATTTTTGCACAACGAGCTCGTATTCTACTGAAACTTAGAGGCTGATTAGAAACACAAAAAGACTGAAAACTTTATACGGTCACTTTTGTGACTGGTCAGCTTTATAAGCCTGAAAGCTTTTAGTTACGAACAAAATGTAGAATGAGAAAGGAAACGCTACAGAGAGAGAGTAGTTATCTTTGTTTGTCTTACGTCAAAAATAACATAGAAAATCATCAACAACTTGCTACCGCTTGAACAATGCAATAAGTTAGCTTTTAGGTGGAATTGACAAATGCATATTTGACATAGTATACTGAATTTTCTTTCATTATAACACAAAACATGGCAAAAAAGACAAGGTACTCCTAGCCTATAGTAGTTTACGTTTAGTCGCACCTCTATACTTATGTTGTTGTTGCATAACTCTTAACCGTAACTAATTCTTCATCACCTATGAATAAAAAACTCATATCCTTGCATCCTGCCATTAATAAAAGATTTTATTGAGTTTGAGGCATTCTGTATACGACATGACGTTCTATATTGTTATATGTAGGTTTATGTTCGTCCATGTTCATCCATCGTTCCTCCATTTGCCATTGTTAGGTATTTTATTTGTATTACAAAAATGTTAGGTGAATGTCAGTACTCTAAAATAAATCAGTCGATACGCCACTCCTCTATCACTTCACACCTCTCCCACGTTATAAATAATAAACAGTCATGATCGTTGCGACGAACAGTCTGATATCTAGCCACATTTCTACAACTTTACCTCTATGTATCTTCTTCCGCTCTACCATCTTACGTTATTTGGTGTAGAGAAGGATGTTATGTTTTAATTTTATTTGTTTGTTTGGATAAAACTTTATTAATTTGTGCTGTGTTTGCCGCTTTGTCCTTGATGACTATGTTTCTAGTCGTGATAATGTTAGCCGTCGATAGGGAAGGGCGGAGGCGACATGGGCGGCAGGCTGCGAGCCTCCGGCTGCGGGGGTTGCGGGCCGGGTGCGGCACGGGCGCGGCGGGCGACGCGGCGCCCCAGCCCGCAGCCTACGGCGACGTGCACGCGCACGCGGCCTGCGCAGCCGGCGGGCCCAGCACGTCGCCGCACAGCCGCTCGCTCCAGCAGGCCGTCGATGCTGATGTCGGGGTATCCCGCCGCGTCCGCCGCCGACACGCGCACCACGTTCACGTATCGACACGCGCGAGTCAACTGCACACAAATAAACCACATTATAATGAACTTTCATAACTATTTCTATTAAAATTGTACGTGAAAACTAAAATAGGACTCAAAATCTCACTTAGAGTATATGTATTAATATAACAAAATGTTCATTAATAACAATTAAAACAGGTTTCAAATTTAAAGCGGAATAGTTGTGCTTATAATGTACAAGGCGAAGTTGTGCGGACACGAATACATGATGCGAGACGATAAGGGAAGCAACGGGAAAAGAGGGGAAGGTGCTCGGAGATGTTGAAGTACTGTTGCGTTACGTTATGCACGACGCCGGAGCACTGGCGGTCGGGGATGTAGTAGGGGCCCAGCGCCTTGTCCGGCTCGCTGAACCCGTAGCCTGCAACAACAAGCGCGTCTCACAAACTACTCATCACATCCAATCCCTTATCACATAACTACTTAAAATGTTATGGCCACTTACACCGCGACAAAACGAACAGCGTTTACACTCGCTCATATTGGTAAACCATATCAACTAATTATTTGTTTCAGTTCGTTAGACTATCTCGGTTATCTACTAAAGTGTACACGTGCCGATGTTGCGGTTAACCGCAGCTACAAAGCTGTTGCTCATTTGCACTGAGAATTGTCAAAGTCAAGTAGAGCCGGGGCTTGCCTTTGAGTGCTGACGACTTGAAGATCATGGCTTGTCCCGAGACTCTCCCCGCGGCCAACACGACGAGCATCAGCACGCCGAGATGCGCGGCGAGCGGCGCGGCGAGCATGTTGGCGGCGTGAGGCGGTGCGGCGGCGATTGCGGGCGCGCGCTGATGACCCACTATATAGCGCGCCCGCGCTGCGCCCGCACTGCGCCCGGCACGCGGCGGAACATTACCGTATTACAAGCTTAGCTAATTAACAATGAGCGTAACTGAAGATCACGCGTTACGTTTAATTACCGTATAATTTTTACAATAATTAAGTATCAATACTAGTTTAGTTCGCAGTGCTTACGTCACCAACATAGACTTTCTCGTGCTGATAATTGGAAGAAAGAAGAAAGGCTAAACACATGCTGGTATTGATCAACAATAAAATCACAGTTTTGACCGGTATTACATCGAAGTTGTCGTCGAGTCATGACTCTATGTTGAGCAGTCTCGTCTCTGACACAGCTCGACACAGCTCTGTCACTGCTCACGGCCAACAGAAACAAAAACTTAGCTATTGCATTACTTATGCTAGGTTTCTGAAGTTCCCGTTTATTTTATCTTTATTTATTGATCCGTCAGTGTTAGGTTGAACTAAGTTTCAATAGAGTAAAGCTCTAGTTAGTTAGTTTGAAAACGCATTTCATGAAGCTGTCAAACCAAACACATTAACGAATATTTAATCATAACTGGGAAACCGGCCATTAGTTAATAACCTGTAACTACCCACCCTCTATACCAAAACCAACATATAAATACTAACTACAGTTACTACTGCGGCGAATGCATAAAATAAAAATATAGCAAAAATAGTGAAAATGAATTAGTAACGAATAATTGACTCATTTTTACTGTTTTTGCTAATGTAGTCATATGATAATATTGTGATGTATACAATATATTGTCAATGCGAGATACATAACTAGTTGAGGTCGCTGTGACACATCCAAATCCAAACAATCGACATCAATACATGAGATCTGTCAGCTGTAAGTATACTGTACCTCCAGGTTTCACGTGACAACTATAGAATAAAATAATTTGTTAATGCAAAAGTAAAACTACAAAATTTTTGAGTGAAGAAAGTAAGAAAGTGATCCGGTCAATTGGCCCGATAACTGGCGGTGGTCCTAGCTTTACTGTGCAGTCCAGTGCCGCTCTCCTGTTCTACGTTGTGTTTCTTACTTCTTACTGATAAAAGGTGACATGCCTTAGAGCCTCAGGTCTACACTAATGAAATACTAGCAAAGCAGGCTTCTTGCCAGCTCGAAAGGTTACAGGGAGGTACGTGAGTATTCGTGTGTACTGGTATGTATCATAAATAACATGGTCACTGTTGGGGCCCTGACCTACAACGTATTTAACTATTTTGAATTGAAGGTGACACTGACTTGGTTAATTTGTTTTCGTCAGTTAAGCTTTTCTGTTTTTTAAATGTATTTTGCATTGTATGCACGGTGTAAATGATTATAATAAGCACGAAGCTCGCACATGTCGCTGCGCGCTGGCTTCGTCTGCGGCCAATACAAATCTTTAAAAACATTGAAAACGGAGCTCAAATTAAGTATTCCTAATTAAAATAGGAAGTTTGGTTTTTAATACTATTTAAGGCATGATTCAGTTTAGCTGTCTACTCAGCTCGCTTTTCTTTCTGTAGGCTGTAGGTTTAAATTTTAAATAAAAAAGGCGATTACGCCTACGACGATTTCAGTTTAATACATTTATTTATCTAATAACAAACTGCTCGAGACTGTTTTATCACATTTGATTGCTGAACGAGTTGACTATAGAATTGACTACGAATACGCGCCGCGACGGCTACATGGGCGGCAAGGCGCTGTCGATGTCCAGCGGCGCGCCATCGAGCGTCGCCTCGTCGGAGTGCAAGCCGCAGCCCAGCACCGCGCGCACCGCGGCGCGCCCGGGGCACGTGTTCACAAGGTTCGGGGAGCGTTCGATGCTCACCGAGGTCAATGAGTCGTCAATGGTGACCTTGACGTGCGCGTAGTCCGTCACGCTAACCCGGACCAACTCCAGCTGCTCGCAGTGCTGCGTCAGCTGTGGACAGAGAGCGTGTTGCATCAGCAGCGCCGCCGGGTGCTCGCGGCCGTCGCGAACGCACTCATACTTACATTGTACAGTACACCGGAGCACTGGTTATTCGGGATAAAGAAAGGTCCCAGCGATTTGTTCTCGGTGCCGCAGGAAGCGCCTTAAAAAAACAACGCTTTTACTAAAGTACACTAAAAAAGTAATTGTCGTCTTCGCAACACTCACCCTTGACGACCTCCGTCTTGTATTGGAAAAGGTTGAGTGCAGTGGCAGGCACGAAAAGCAGCACCAGTGCGGCCAGGGCGGCCGACGCGACCGGGGGTGCTTTCATTGTGCCACACGCGTGCGCTGCGCTGCTGCGACTGACCGCGGCGCAGCATCGCCCCGTTTTATATTAGGGCGCTCCGCTTCTGTATGGCAAACATCATTTGTTTTACTATTGTTATCGTTCCGCTTCTGACAGTTAACATTCAAACTCGTCGCAATTACATTAAGTGTGACGGCACCGGGACCGCTTGCGATGCAATGCCGTGCCATGCCTACTCATATAACAGCTGTACCTGTAGTGACGTGTCGTCTATGTTAAACCTTTAGTCACGTTATTGCAACGCCTCTGCCATGTTCGCGGATGCTCGTACGCCTCCTTAATGCAGCGAGAGCGTCACAGCCCCAATAGTATCCTGAGTGCACTGATGAATAGGTGGGACTCGGCAATGCTGGCTCTTGATCCTGTTTCGCTCAGACAAAACCCTGAGTTTCAGAAGACATCTCCGAAACGTAGCCAGTGTAGGGTTGTTTTGATGTCCAAAATATGTCATGAAGATCCTTGTAGCGCTTCCTGTGGAGCTCTTTATCTCTTCATATGGCCTTCCGGTCAGAGACGCTTTGTACGACCGGGTCCTATCAATACTTATTTCCTAAGACAGGGGGATAAGTCGAGATCGAGAGTATAAGATCGAACATGCAGTTTATGTCGCGACAACCACGGACCACAACACGAAGCTACATGCAATTTTTATTGTACTATGACATTGAACGCCATCTATTGTTTAACGCACAAACTAACTCGGTGGTAGCAGTAACCAGAACACAAAATGAAAACGTCGTATTGTGCTAAATATATCAGTGCGGCTCGAGTCTTGGTCGGGACGGGACGAGTCGAGTCACCGCCTGGCACCCAGTATAAATGTGCGCCGCGCGAGAAGCACTAACCTCGCACGCGCCGGCGCCGATGTCGGGCAGCGAAGACGACGGGCAGGCCGCTAGAGACGCTGGGAGCGAGACGTGGCAGGGCACGAGCGGCGCGGCCGGGGAGGTGCTACGCGCGGTGTTCGCGTGGCTCAACGGCGCCGAGCTGTGGGCTGCGGCACACGTGTGCCGCGGCTGGCGAGCCGCCATCGAGTCTTGGTTGTGGCGGCGCGCGCTGCTGCCTCGCGCCGCTCCCGCGCACCTTGCCGCCCTGCGCCGCGCACGCGCCGCCGCTGCACTCAACTCCGCACACAACGTGACTGGCAAGTAACGTAATCTATACCGTACAAAAATCTAACTCTGGGGAAATACTAAATGTTTTCACATACATGCATTTGTAGCTTGTTGACCAACTTCCCAAAAGAAGGAGGTAGTCAATTCGTCTGTATGTTTTTTTACGTGTGTTACGGCATAATTCTGCCGCTAGTGGACCGATTTTGATAATACTTTTTTTATCCGAAAGGTAGTGCTTGCAGGTGGGTCCCATTTTTGACCGACTTCCCAAAAGAAGGAGATACTCAATTCGTCTGTATGTTTTTTTTTTTTAAGTGTGTTACGGCATAACTCCGCCGCTAGTGGACCGATTTTGATAATTATTTTTTTTATCCGAAAGGTAATGCTTGCAAGTGGGTCACATTTTTTTGTTTAATTTTTGAAGTCAAAGACTACGATGTAGTTAAATAGTTTAGCTCGACATCGCGCGACGAAATTTAGGGTCATTTTTGCTTTCTTTGCTTACGTAGCCTAAACTATAAGACTTACATAAAAATAATGTATGGAAGAATTGTAGCCCATTAAATTTGCTAAATAAAAATCCGCGACAGCATATATCTATCTATTAATGTTGTCGCACAATAACCACTTTTTTCATCAAAATATCGCTCGAAATCTATACTTTCAACGCTATTATTCGTGTTCGGTATTAATCCTTATCCAAATAGATGTGTCCATCGTCAAGAGAATTTAATGTAGATTATAACTGCCCTTGGAACTGTATAATTCCGATCAATAGTTTAGGAGATATCATAAAAAGCAAATTTCGAGTCGCAGAAAAAAAATACCAACTTGTAACAAAGTTTTCTTTCTTGGCTTACGTAGCCTAAACTATAAGACCTACATAAAAATAATGTATGAAAGAATTGCAGCTCATTCAATTAGCTAAATTAAAGTCCGCGATAGCATATATCTATATCTTTAGGTTGTCGCACAGTAACTGTTTGTTTCGCGAAAACCGTCAAATAAATGCAATCGACTTCATTTAAAACGCTTTTATTCTTATTTGATATGAATCCTTATCCAAATAAATATGTTTTCACGATAGAGTATTAAATGTGGATCAGAATTGCCTTTTAGAGTATGTTATTCTGACCAAGATTCTAGAATTTATTAAAATATTAAAACTCACGGGCAACAGCGACGCACGGCTGGACAGAATAGGGAATAAACATGTGTTTTTTTTTCTTTTTTTAAACGATTCTACTTGTTATAAAATAACCACAAAAAAAACATAAAACATTCCTACTGGAAACACCTAAGTTTGAAGAGGTACGTGTAATCTTACAAATATTACAATGAGGAGGTTTGGGTGGATGGATGGATGTTAGGGCTTATCGCCTAAATGGCTGCATAGATCTCGATGAAATTTGGCATAGATGGGAAGTGGAGCTTGGAAGAACAACGTGATCTACTTACTTACCTCTGTTTTTCCCACGCGGACAAAATCTATAATATGTCATTATACTCATCACCTGGCACTACGGAATTCCATTCATTCAAATACGAATACACTCTACCACATGAACACTTACACACACACCGTACATACAACACACATACACACATAGAAAGTAGAGGAGTTTTATTTGAGTTTTTACTTTGAAATTAGTTGTTTTTTTAATTATTTTATCTGAGTTGCTCTTTGCTGCTAATAAGTTCATTTTTTTCCACTTTAGATTGATAAATCTGTTATGGTTATTAAGCTTATTTTATTACGAGTGTACAGCGACCTCGGGCTATCTACGCTCCCTTTTACATCTTGGGAAGGGGGGTGGCTGAAAACCAGCTCGACACTGGATCTCAACCATTATCGGATAAGCTGAGCCTCCCCTTTTGCCATCTGTTATAATTTTTTCATGTATGTTTTTTTATTTTGTACAACTCTGTGTATTCTTGGATGGCAATAAAGAGGTTTTTATTTTTTTATTTTGTTTTTTTAATAAAGGTTTACTGTTTTCAAGGAATTATTTCGTTATTTTTTAGTGTATTGTTTTTTTGAGAATGTTTTGATCTCCTTTTAATCTCTTTGTTTTATTTAAAATGTCTCGTGTGTTGGCTTATTAAGTGAATGTTTTGCGGAAGATAGGAGAGTCGTGGGCGGCGTGGTCGTGGCGGCGCGAATACTGGCTGGCGGCAGCGTGCTGGCGGCTGGCGTGGCGCGCGCCCGCCGCGGGGGGCGCCGCTGTGGCGCACGCCGCGCTCAGCCACGCTGGGGACCGGCTGGCGCTCGCCGCCGATGATGCCTCGCTTACGGTATGTCAGATTTTTGTAATAAATTATTAGGTCCTTACACATTGAATAGGCGAATTGTCCTACCGGTCTGTGAACTCAAATATCTCCATTTATCTTTGGTTAGGTCACCACGCAAATAAAAGGAGCTCCAATTGTAATGTCTAAGACATCCACCGTACTCGCCGAACTTTGGACCAATAGACTACCATTGTTATTTCGAAATTCGGATAACTTCTTTAAGGAAAAAAATACAATTCCAAAGGAGAATTTATTGATTTCAGTCCGAATGCCTTTTTATTTTAATAAAAGGATCTTTGAACTATCTATGAGGTAGCAAAAGTGCAAACAGCAATGGTACATACTTTGATTGAAAAAAATATGTTATACTAGCTTTCTCCCGCGACTCCGTCCGCCTGGAATTAAAAAAAAATATGTGTTCTTCCGCACTATTCTCTTCATCTTAACACTGTTGAATTTGAATTTTCAAAGCGGTGACTTGTCAGCCGCGGGGTGAAAGTGAAACCCAATAAGCAATTGTACTGATATTCTGATAAGTATTAGTGGTACTCTTATCGTATCGTGTATGTGTCGGTGCTGCGTGGGCGTGGGCTCGGGGCGGGCAGGTGTGGGCGCGCGTGTCAGGCAGCCCGCGGTGGGAGCAGTGTTGGCACCGCAGCGAGCGAGCGCGCGGCTGGGCGGCGGTGCTGGCAGTAAGCTGGGCGCCAGACGATGCGCGCCTACTGCTCTCAGGGCCCCTTGTGCTCGCCGACCGCTGGGAGCTGCTCGTCTTGAGGTTCGACGGTCGGTATTCTTACATTTACAGATGTCCGTGAATATGAGTTAATTCATCCATTATTTTGGGTGACTACTTACTTAGTCAATTAAAAGATTAATGTGCTCAGTTTCAAGCAAATTTTTTCAACATCAGAGAGTGGCGTGGGGCGGGCAGAGGTGCGAGCCGAGTGCGGCCCGGGCGGCGGCTGCTGGGCCGGGCCCGCCGCCTTTCTGTCGCTGTCGCTGCGCCTGCTGGCGCCCGCGCGCGCCGTCACCACCGTGTGGCTTAACGCCGCCGACCAGGTGCCACTGGCCTGTCGTGTCCCGTCCTGGCTCTCGACTTGATATGACACAAGGTACGTGTGTCTGCAGGGCGTGCAGTCGGAGTTCGCGGGCGTGAGGTCTCCGGTGCTGCGCGTCTACAATGAGGCCGCCGCGCACATCACGTGAGTTTCAACTTATTGCTAGTCCTAACTGCGCCACCACTATAGCGCCCACGGCGCGCCATTCATGTCATTTACTAAGTTTTAAATGCGTTAAAAAACCAGCTGTTCCCGTACGACTTCACCACCGCATGAATTGCTGCTATTTGCTTGTTGTTCTTGTCCCCTTGCTGTCATTGCTGCCATTCTATATAACTAAGAAGTGTTTGTGTACACTTCATTATGTTTGTTTAGAAAGTATAGATGTACTCTATCACAACCATCTTTTAAGTCACAAAACTTTTTACCTTGTACAAATCTACATCTACGTTAGATCGAATACTTATCTTAGTCACTTTTTGTTTTTTGTAAAATTACGATTTGGTTTTTATAAATTATTTCAGACACATGCTTGCGGCAGAGGTTCCGGTGCATGAGTTAGAAGAGCTAGAAGGCCGGAGCCCTGAGGAGCGGCTCGTCGCCGCCGACGAGCCAACGGAAGTGCCATCCGATGGCGCCGAGTGCCCGCGGCCCAGCTACTGGCGCGCCACGTTGCCGGTGAGTCGCCCCTCGTTCTAACATTATAATAGACACTTACTAATTTTCTATTATTGTAATGGGACATATTATCATGTGAGATCTTTGTGTAGTGTTTCTGTTTATTTTGTGTAGATGCGTGCCGAGCAGTACGAGCGGGTGGTGCTGGCGGCAGTGGGCGCGGCGGGCGGGACGCGCGGTGCGGCGTGCGCGCTGGCCGTATGGGCGCTGCGAACGCGCGCGCCGCCGCCTCTGTTCGCGACCACTTCCCTGGCGGAGCGCGTGCGAGCGTACCGCGAGGCGAGGCTCGCGCCTCCCGCGCCTGGCGAGCCTCCCGCGCCGCCACCCAGCGAGCGCGAGCTGCGCGCCCTTTGCACGCCACCACTTGCCACGTGCCGCCTTCCTTCTGCTATACTAGGCGTAAAAATACATCCAAAGTCAGTTTCCAATTTAATATCATCTTGGTGGTATCATCATGTATCAACTCCAAGGCACATTGCTCCAATTTACATGGATTTTATTTTTATTTTTTTTTAACAATACTATCAGATCCGTCAACTGAACGGAACTCCACGGGTCTTACATTATTTAAACGAAATATTTAATTTCTTTATAACAGAAACGTTGATCTAAATGGTAAAGGCGAGGTGTTGCCGAGTAGTAGAGTGAATGTTGTGCAGCGGCGGCTGCGTGTGGGCGGTGTGCGGCGCGGGCGCGCAGTGCGCCTCGCTGCCCGCGCTGCGCCCGCTGCTGCGCGTGCCGCTCGCCGCACCCGCCGCGCCCGCCTCGCCCCCCGCGCTCTACCTGCTGCAGCCCTCGGTCTGCGACGACTTCCTAGTCACGTAAACGATCTGTTCTGCATTTGTAAATTCAGTTTTAATGCTACGCAGCTATTCATTGGTGAATGCAAATCCAAATAAGCCGAGCCCCAATCGAGATTCTTAAAGCACGAAAAATAAATGTTTTCATGCGTGTCTGAGTTATCATCGTGTATTAGTTCAGCAGCTAGTGCTACTTTTATCTATGGTTTTTTTTTACACCAATAATTTTTCATAATGTGTATGGGAAATAAAACATGTCGAACGTGTTCGAAAGTTGGCAACGGTCGACGGGTCCGTGTACCTGCCGCGTGCGCAGTGTTCCTACGAGGCGCATAGAGGCCCTGATGCTGTTGTGTGCGCAGGCCGGAGGGGCCGGGGTCGGGCGCGGTGCGCGTGGTGGCGGCGCGATCGGGCGCGCGCGGGGCCGCGCTGCCGCACGCCGCGCCGCCCGTCGCCGCGCTGTTGCCCGCGAGCCCCACTCATCTACTCGTGCTTGCCGGTCAATATCTATATGTAAATATTCTTTTTTTTTTAATCAGTGTAACAAATATTCACTAGAGACCAGTAGTTTTTACGTACAAAAATACACTAAAAACAAAACAAAATATTCTCAACTTATTTATTTACAATCTTAACAACTTATTAACAATCATATCGCGCCGTTATCTATATTTTTGTTTTTTTTTATATAACATAAGGTGGCAAACGAGCAAGCGGCCACCTGAATCCGCCAGAATGGCGAAGCGACCGCTGCCCATAGACATCCGCAATTACAGATGCGTTGCCTACCCTTATCTGACGGAGGAGGAGATGCACATAAAGACGTTATTTCCCCCTCCTATGCATCTCCTTTACCCACTTTTTCCACTCCACTTTCCCTTCCCGTCCTCTCATAAGAAAAGGGTGGTAAAAAGAAAGGGACTTAAATTTATTAACACGACCTCCTAAATACATAGTACGATAATTTTTTTTTTTTAAATAAATAACGAAAACTTAAGTACAGATAGTTTGTTATTCTATATCCAGGTGTGGACGTGTCCAGCGTTACAACATGATGAAACAAAGTGCTGACTGAAATCGACTACGCCATTTAATACGATAAAATGTAAGACTAGATAATTTAAATTATTAATTCGCGTCATCGCGGCCATCGAGAGCTAACGCACGCGCGCTCGTGAAGGTCGCGGCTCGCGGCGCACTCTACACACCGACTGCACACACACCGCCATG